TAGGGTACACTACCCGGGGCTTTCCCGGGGCGAAAATTTCCGACGCTTCACTGGTGGAAAATGTTTCCTCACTATCCACCCACTTTTGAACGATCGGGTTGGGGCGCAAAAAAAATCCAATCCACGTCAGAAACATCGTCATTACTGAAGTCAGAGGCCAGGCCCGGGAAAAAAAATTAGTTTTTCTCTTACGTTTAGGAAAAAAACCCCACCGTGAGTCAAAGAGTGCCCACACCAGAGGTAGAAAAAGGGGAGGATCGCGGGGTTTTTTGCACTATTATGATATCCGGTCATTATTTTCGGTCACTAACTTTTTCAAAGCCGTAGAATTCGTTTTTCATTTTCCCCTTTTCCCTCAGTTTTCAAACTATAGACAGGAAGAGGAGAGTCCCAAAATTTTTCCCGGGGGGTGAGAGCTGACTTGCGACGAGACATGGTGAAAAAAGGGTGACTGAGCCGGCGTTCCCACAAAGCTATGCAGGCGCCCAGATTTTTGTTTACGGCGCACACCCCGGGGGCAGACCCGTTCTCTCATATGTAGGCCTATGGGGGCTTTTGCGCCCAAATTTGACGGCGCCAGAATTTTGGGCGTAGATCTACGGTTTGGGAAATCACCGAACCCCGCCGTAGATCTACGGGGCGGGCCCTGAAAGGGTTTTAAAGAAGAGCCCCATTTTTTTTAAAGTTTTTATAGGAAATTAAAAAAAAAAAAAAAGAGTCAGAAATTACCAAGATATAAGAAACCCCAAAAGGGGGGGCTCTGGTTTCTCAAAGTTTCAGGCGAAAAAAAGTTCCCGCCACTTGCAGGCGTTTTTGCCGATATACCTTTTTTTGGGCGTTTTTTATTTTAATTTTTTAAAAATTTTTTATGTTCTGATAAAATTTCAATTTTTAAAAAGTTTTTTGTGATTTCATTTGCCAATCTTTGTTCTGACACTAAAAAATTTTTGGGAAATGAAAAGTGCTTCCAAAAAAGTCACAAACAATTGAAGGGGGAACATTTTCACCTGCCTGGGTCATTTACTATTGTCAAGAAATATATACAAAGTATTTATAGGTCCCAGAAATGTATTAGACATGCTGGAATATATTTTGAAGCATGGTGTTATGAAAAGCATCCCTATACTGTTGACAGCCCAGGGACATTTGATAAATGTGAACTGCTCCAGCTAACCCTCCTGTATTTGTTATCACTGTTACTTACAAACATGTCTTGTCTGTCTGTCTATCTGTCTGTCTGTCAGTCTATCTATCTTTCTGTCTATCTGTCTGCCTGTCTGTTTGTCTCTGCTTATCTGTCTAGCTCTGCTTATCTTTCTGTCTGCCTGGAGTATATATCAAACTCCTTGAAGAATGGTGTTATATCAACTGTTGACAGCTCAGTGACATTTGATAATTGGGCACTAGGGGAACCCTGGCTTTACTTGTTTTCACTGATACTCGCAAACATGTTTGTTTGTTTGTCTGTCTGTCTGTCTGTGTCTATCTATCTGTCTGTCTGTCTGTCTGTCTACCTGTATCTTTGCCTGGAATTTTTGGGTTATCCTAGGTAATTTACACTATGTATAATTGTACTTATGTGTACATGTGAGAGAGAGACAGAGATATAGATATTCAGAGATATAGATGGATACAGAGAGACAACTAGAGACAGTCAAAGCCAGCCAACCAGCCTGCCGAATACATAAGAACATAAGAAAGAAGGAATACTGCAGTAGGCCTACTGGCCTATGCAAATCAGGTCCATGTCACCCCTCCCCCCCAGACTTAGACCAATGACCCACCTAGTCAGGTCACATCCACTGAAGGAAGGAGCACGACATCAGACCTAGAGGCACAAGCTAGTCAGGTCCAACTCACACCCACCCACGCTCACTCATGTATTTAGCTAACCCTCCCTGCATATGTTATCACTGTTACACAAACATGTCTGTCTGCCTATCTATCTGTCTGTCTGTTTATCTGTCTGCCTGCCTGTCTGTCTCTGCTTATCTGTCTTTCTGTCTGCCTGTGTGTGCTGGAGTATATATCAAACTCCTTGAAGAATGGTGTTATGACAACTGTTGACAGCTCAGTGACATTTGATAATTGAGCACTAGGGGAACCCTGACTTTACTTGTTTTCACTGATACACACAAACATATTTGTCTGTCTGTCTATCTATCTGTCCATTTATCTATCTATCTGTCTATCTTTGCCTGGAATTTGGGATACACCAACCTGCTGCTACTGTTTGGTGGCGTTATTTGCTGCATAAGTCATTCCAATTTCTTTTTCTCCATTTATTGTTATAACCAGCTCACTTTAGCCCTAGTCATGGTTCCAACAAATAAAAGAAATGCTTTTCGTTGTGTGAAGTACATACACTGTACACTATCCATAAAAGACAAGGTGGCTTTGAAGCCACTGTCGGTCGCCATGAGCTCAGCTCACTTAGATAATCTGTGACCAGTAAATTTGGGCCTACATACAAGAGAATAGACCTGTGTGGTAAGTGTGCACTATATAAAAAAATCCTGCAGCACGCAGTGCATAATGAGAAAAATAGGCGGCTGTGCTTTTGGTGTAAAACAGCGACTTTGCAGTGTATTTTTGTATGTTTGTATTCTCATTTTTTTGGTCTTATTTGATAGAATGGAAGATATATTACAGAAATAGATATAATTTTGATTAGTTTCATGCCAGAAAGTACCTTAAAATGAAGCTCAAATTAGCGGAAATGTTTGATTTTTGCCAATGTTCAAGAGTAAACAAATGACGTCACCGTCCAATACGTGTCAACTGGCCAGTCTAATAAGTAGTTACGAATGAGTTAACATTATTTATACAATTATTACAATAATGCAGTAGTCTGCATAACAGCAAATATTCTATTTTTTGTGTGAATAAGAATTCAAAATGGAGAGCAAGCGTAATATAAGAGGGGCCTGGAGACATGACTAATGAACAAAGAAAATGTTATTTTAGTGCTAGGAATGTCTGCACTGTTTATTCTGGACCCTATTTTGAAATTGGCATCTATTGAAACTTGTGTGAGATTATCCAAATTACTGATTTCTGAACACTACTGGGTAGTTGAAATAGGTAAATGGGCAGTTTCTTGTACTCAATCGACAGATAGAAGGAATACTAGCAAAATAGCTATGAGTTTGGTAGACTGGAATAACTGAATGGGCCAAAAATAGGGTGTAAAGTGGTGGAAATCGCTGATGCATAAATATCACCATTGGGTTAAGTGTATTCTAAGCTAACCATTCTGTAATCTGGCAAAAACTCACTAATCTGGCACCCTACAAGTTCCGATGATGCCAGATTAGTGATGGCCAACCTGTACAGTGCCTGCACCAGGGATGAAGTACAGTGCCTGCACCAGGGATGAAGTACAGTGCCTGCACCAGGGGGGAAGTACAGTGCCTGCACCAGGCGGGTAGTACAATGCCTGCACCAGGCAGAAAGTACAGTGCCTGCACTCTAAACAAAGGGGTGGGGATATTTGCTGTTTGGAGGGACAGCTTAACTGTCATATCTACATGCCTCTCATAAGACAGTGATTGTGTGAATGATGGTGAAAGTGTTTCTTTCTCGGGTCACGTCACCTACCTCAGTGGGAGATGGCCAGTGTGTTAAAAAATAATAATAATCCTTATTTCTACAAGTGCATGATACAACTATACAAACCTAGCTGACATTACTGGTATAATATACAGAAAGCCCCTTGGTTAGGCAGAGCATTTCGGGTAATTTAGATGAAACTTGTCCCCCAGGATGTGACCCACAAAAGTCAGCTAACACCCAGGTACCTACTTACTGCTAGGATGAACAGAGACAGCAGGTGTAAGGAAACATGTCCAATCTTTCACCCATGCTGGGAATCAATCCCTGACTCTTAGTGTGTGAGCTGAGGATGCTACCAACCAAGCCATGTGCAACTGGTTATGCAATTATTTTGGGCAGCCTTAAAATTAACATATAACTACTGAACAATTATTTAATTAGACTGATTTACTATAATACTATAGTTTGCAATATCTGCCACTGAATACAACAGTCTGGTTTATGATTATGAAATTTTGGAATTATTTATAAAAATGCAGGTTTAGCACTTATTTTTATTATAATAATAACACTTACAAAAATTTAATGTAACATATTTAGTAGTTACTACTGATGTTATCCATGGAGGCAAAGAAGGGAATGTACGAAAGTATAGTGGTACCAACACTCTTATATGGATGTGAAGCTTGGGTTGTAAATGCTGCAGCGAGGAGGTGTGGAGTTACTTAAAGGTCAGAGGGATGAAGAGGAGTTGTTGAGGTGGTTTAGTCATTTAGAGAGAATGGATCAAAGAAGAATGACTTGGAGAGCGTATAAATCTGTAAGGGAAGGAAGCCGGGGTAGGGGTCGTCCTCGAAAAGGTTGTAGGGAGGGGGTAAAGGTAATGTGGGCGAGGGGCTTGGACTTCCAGCAAGCATGTGTGAGCACGTTAGATAGGAGTGAATGTAAACGAATGGTTTTTGGGACCTGACGAGATGTTGGAGTGTGAGCAGGGTAATATTTTGTGAAGGGATTCAGAGGAAACTAGTTAGCTGGACTTGAGTCCTGGAAATGGGAAGTACAATGCCTGCACTTTAAAGGAGGGGATTTGGGATATTGGCAGTTTGGAGGTTGACTTTTAAACTGTCGTATCTGAGCACCTCTGCAAAGACAGTGATTATGTATTGAGGTGAAAGTGTTGAATGATGATGAAAGTATTTTCTTTTTAGGGGGATTTTCTTTCTTTTTGGGTCACCCTGCCTCAGTGGGAGATGACCGACATTTAAAAAAAAAAAAATACTGATATAGAGCATATAATGAATAAATGCCACACAATGAATAAATGTGGATTTAGAATAAGAATTCAGTATATGGCCCAGTTAACAATACTGTACAGTATACTGAGTATCTACATAGAATTATAGCTTTAAAATGAATGAATTTTTAAATACATTTTGTAACATTACCTGTTGGAATGATGTCGGGCAAATTATGTCCATGTGGAGAAGGAGGCCAAGTCTCACTTTGTTTATTATTAGTTAGTGAAACCTTTTTCCTCTTGGCCTTATTTAACTTTTGACTGCAATCATTGCTTGACCTGCTGTGCTTGGCTTTCAGTTTTCCATTGAACCTGAAAAAAAGGTTAAAATACTCTATATGATATGGTACTCTATAAGACACAAACGATGTAACCTCGACTACTCAGTCTGTAGCCATTGAGTGCCAAGGACACTGCCACAAGGCAATGTCCTTGGCCCTATGTGCTTTTCCATTTACATCAATAATCTCCCCAATGCATCTCATCTCCTTAAAGCAGTTCTGTTTGCAGATGACACTACTTATGTCTTATCCCACTCTAACCCGACTATACTTAGTGACACTGTTAATGTCATGCTACTAAAAACATCTACATGGACGACAACCAACAAACTCTTTCTCAATATACACAAAACCTACTACATGCTGTTTGGAAACAGAGTCTTAAATGTCCAATGTGATCAATGGTTTCCCTATTACTTCAATATTAAAATGGTTCCAATTTCATTTTGTACTTTGTACTTAGCAAATCAAAATCGTAATTACACTTTGTAAACTATGCAAAGAAATAAAATCCCTTAATTACAGAGCTTTAAATATCCAACAGAGCCTTAAATCTCCAACTTGACCAATGGTTCCCCCATTACAAGACAATGAGGGCAAGTTTTTAAGTCTTCACCTTGACTGCAACCTTAAATTTTAGACCTATATCCAACATATATCCAAGAAAGTCTCAAAACAGTAGGTATCCTTTACAAAATGTGGTACTATGCACCCCAAACAGCACTCTCTAATCTACCCTTACTTCGCCTATGGTATCTGTGCTTGGGTATCTACTACGACCAATCACCTTAAACTATTAATAACCCAACAAAAAGATGCTGTGTGGATGATCACTAATGCCTGTGCCAGACAACACGCCCCTCCACTCTTCAAGAGTTTGAACTTAGTTAATATACAAAATATGCACTCATGATGACACTCTTTAGGTCACTTGTTCTATCTAGACTGGAATATTGCTTCACACTGACAGCACCTTTCAAGACAGGTGAAATTGCTGACCTAGAAAATGTACAGAGAACCTTCACGGCACGCATAACGGAGATAAAACACCTCAATTACTGGGAGCACTTGAGGTTCCTGAACCTGTACTCCCTGGAACACAGGCGGGAGAGATACATGATTATATACACCTGGAAAATTCTAGAGGGACTAGTACCGAACTTGCACACGAAAATCACTCACAACGAAAGCAAAAGACTTGGCAGACGATGCAACATCCCCCCAATGAAAAGCAGGGGTGTCACTAGCATGTTAAGAGACAATACAATAAGTGTCAGGGGCCCGAGACTGTTCAACTGCCTCCCAGCATACATAAGGGGGATTACCAATAGACCCCTGGCTGTCTTCAAGCAGGCACTGGACAAACACCTAAAGTTGGTACCTGACCAGCCGGGCTGTGGCTCGTACATTGGATTGCGTGCAACCAGCAGTAACAGCCTGGTTGATCAGGCTCTGATCCACCAGGAGGCCTGGTCACAAACCAGGCCGTGGGGGCGTTGACCCCCGGAACTCTCTCCAGGTAAACTCCAGGTAATATTAATGTGCCTATTATATATAGAATGTTAAACTCCAATACAAGCCCTCCTCTCAAACTTCTCCAACAGAACACACACACACACAAAACTCTCTTTTACATTCCTTGTGTCTGTCTCACCCTATGCAGAAATGCAATGCACATACAGGGTCCTCAGGATCTGGGATTCATTGCCCGAACCAGGAAAAGGTCCTCTGCCAATCAATTTAGGGCTATAACAAAAAATCACCTCATCTCCCAAATTTAACTATACCAACACTATATGATGTCTGAAATCACAGAACCAGTTTGAAACTATTCAAGCAATCCCAATTAACTTAAGAATACTAAATTAATTTGAGTACAGCCCCTCCTCAATTAACACTGGATTTCCTTTCCTAAGACCACATCGTTAAATGAATTCGTCACTAACTGAGGAGCATACCATAATCTTAGTGGGTATGTGTCAACCATCTTTGATATTGTTTTAATGTCACCTTTGCACCATTTCTTTAACAAACCCATTGAATCAGCTACCTTCCCAACAATCCTCAAAATAGCGAGGGTCACTCTGATCCACAAAGGAGGCGACCAAGCTGACTTGAATAACTATAGACCAATATCTAACTTACCACTGCTCTCTAAAATCTTTGAAAAACTAATTCATAGATGGATCTATTCCTACCTCGTCTCACACAACATATTAAACCCTTGTCATTTTGGATTCAGGAATAATAAAAGCACGAATGATGCTATCATACACATGCTAGAACTAATATACACGCACTCGAAAAGAAAGAAGTCCCGCTGGGCATTTTCATTGATTTATGTAAAGCTTTCGATACAGTCGACCATGAACTGCTGTACTCCAAATTAACGCACTATGGCATCAGAGGCCACTCCCTCAACTACCTAAAAGCATACCTTAGTAACAGAACTCAGTATGTGTATGCAAATGATGCAAACTTTTCCACCCAACCAATCACAGTAGGAGTCCCACAAGGAAGCATCCTTGGACCACTCCTCTTTCTCATCTACATCAATGATCTACCGAATGCATCACAGCTACTCAAACCCATATTATTTGCAGATGACACTACATATGTCTTTTCCCACCCAAACACACTCATACTAGCAAACACAGTCAATGCCGAATTGCAGAAAATATCTGCCTGGATGATGACTAATAAACTTACCCTTAATACCGATAAAACCTATTTCATTCAGTTTGGAAACAAAGCTGCAAATGATCCAATTAACATAACGATAAATGGATCATCAATCACAAGACACACACAAGAGGAAAATTCCTAGTTATCCACCTTGACAGTAGCCTTAAATTCCGGACACACATACAACGAATTACCAAGAAAATCTCTAAGACTGTAGGCATACTATCAAAGATAATGTACTACATTCCACAATCAGCTCTCCTGGCACTGTACCATTCACTGATATACCCTTATCTTACATATGGAATTTGTGCATGGGGATCAACAACATCCAATCACCTAAAACCCCTAATAACCCAGCAAAAGGCAGCAGTAAGAATGATAATGAATTCCCACTCCCGCCAGCATACTCCACCAGTTTTCAAAGGTCTGAATCTGCTCACCATTTAGAACATCCATACTTATTCATGTGCCTACTACATACACAGAACAATACACGTAAATATAAACCCTCCACTCAAACTTCTCCTCACGAACTTAAACAGGACACATGACCACAACACAAGACACAGATCTCTTTTTGATATACCTCATGTCCATATCACACTCTGTAAAAACTCTATGCACATAAAGGGCCCTAAAATATGGAATTCATTACCAGAATATAATAAAGTAACCCAGTCTGAAAATCAGTTTAAGACTCTTCTCAAAAGCCACTTAATCACCATAGACTAAATGCTAAATATTCAATACGCACATATACTCACCTATGTACTCCCACATCATAACTTCAACAATCACTTTGAACCTCTTATCCATTGTTGACAGGAATATAATTGAACCATTGTTTTTCACAATAAGCATTTTAGGCTATATGAATACAGTGGACCCCCGCTTTACGATCACCTCCCAATGCGACCAATTAAGTAAGTGTGTTTATGTAAGTGCGTTTGTACGTGTATGTTTGGGGGTCTGAAATGGGCTAATCTAATTCACAATATTCCTTATGGGAACAAATTTGTTCAGTACTGGCACCTGAACATACTTCTGGAATGAAATAATATCGTAAACTGGGGGTCCACTGTATATCCTTTGTCTTATATAAATTTAATTTGCTTATAATTAATAGCCTACTGTTCAACTATGAAATAATTACTGTCCTACTGTACAACTATTTATTTATTTATTTATTTATTTAATGTCTTTGCAAACAGTACATTGAGATTGTGTATATACAATAGTGGGATGCAATGCAGAGAGAGCCTCTATTATGCCTTGGCATTATGGGCCAACTTAACATTATTGGCTTACATTCTACTTAATACTAAGAAATATTATATCATAGTTGTACAGTAGGATAGGAATTATTTCACAAGTGTACAGTAGAATATTAATTATAAACGAATCAAAATTTGTATAATACAAAGACATACGTATTTATATTCTAAAATGCTTTTGTGAAAAACAATGATTCAATTATATTCCTGTCAACAATGGATAAAAGGTTCAATGTGATTGTTTCAGTTATGATGTGGGAGTACATAGGTGAGTAAATGTATACTGAGTATTTAGCATTTAGTCTAGGGTGATTAAGTGGCTTTTGAGAAGAGTCTTAAATTGATTTTCAGACTGGGTTACTTTAATATCTTCTGGTAATGAATTCCATATTTTGGGGCCCTTTATGTGCATAGAGTTTTTACACAGTGTGATATGGACATGAGGTATATCAAAAAGAGATCTGTGTCTTGTGTTGTGGTCATGTGTCCTGTTTAGGTTGGTGAGGAAAAGTTTGAGTGGGGGGTTATATTTGCGTGCATTGTTCTGTGTATGTAGTAGGCACATGAATAAGTATGGATGTTCTTAATGGTAAGCAGATTCAGACATCTGAAAATTGGTGGAGTATGCTGGCAGGAGTGGGAATTTGTTATCATTCTTACTGCTGCCTTTTGCTGGGTTATTAGGGGTTTTAGGTGATTGGATGTTGTTGATCCCCATGCACAAATTCCATATGCAAGATAAGGGTATATCAGTGAATGGTACAGTGCCAGGAGAGCTGACTGTGGAAAGTAGTACCTTATCTTTGATAGTATGCCTACAGTCTTGGAGATTTTCTTGGTGATTTGTTGTATGTGTGTCCAGAACTTAAGGCTACTGTCAAGGTGGATACAGTGGACCCCCGGTTAACGATATTTTTTCACTCCAGAAGTATGTTCAGGTGCCAGTACTGACCGAATTTGTTCCCATAAGGAATATTGTGAAGTAGATTAGTCCATTTCAGACCCCAAACATACACGTACAAACACACTTACATAAATACACTTACATAATTGGTCACATTCGGAGGTA